CCAGTTGACAATCGCACTGATTTTTTCAGGATCAGTTGTGACTCCACCATCTCCTATAACAAAACCTAAATAATTCACCTTAGTTACGCAGAATTTGCTTTTCGCTACATTAAGTGTTAAATTTGCTCTTCGAAATTGAGATGCTAATCTCACCAGGACCTCAATATGGGATTCAAAATCCTCAGAAACAATGATTATATCATCAAGATAGCCAAAAACGCAATTTTTTAAGTCTGGGGGAATGAGCTCGTCTATTAATCTACACATAGTTTGTGGCGCGTTACATAGCCCGAAGGGCATGACCACAAACTGGTACAGAGGGCGTCCAGGAACGGTAAAAGCAGTTAAATGTTTAGAATTTTCGTCAAGGCCAATTTGCCAGTACGCGTCTTTAAGGTCAAGTTTTGTTATAATATTTGCCTTGGGCAATCTAGCAAAGATTCCTCCTATATTTGGAAGCGGATATGCGTCCTTTTTCGTAACCAGATTTAGTTTTCTTGCGTCTAAACATAACCGAACCTTATTAGTCTTGACTACTAGCCTCATAGGCGAACTCCACGGAGATGAAGAAGGTTCAATGACCCCAAGACCTAGCATTCTATCTATTTCTCCAAACATAAGTTTTTCTACTGCCGGAGAAACAGGATAGAATCTCTGTTTTACTGGAGTAGCGTTTCCTACCTCAATCTTATGTTGGATTAGTTTAGTCCTTCCTAAGCCTTGCTTATCAAAATTTGGAAATAATTTGATTATCGAGTCTAATTGAGTTCTCTGTTCATTACTTAACGGACAGAAATTTTCGTCTATCGAGGAACTAGATTTGGCAAAATCTGTCAACACATCAGTCATACTATTTAACTCTGAAGGACTGATTGTAGAGTTATTTAAAGCAATGACATTAGTAGACCCGATGAAATCTGGGCAGAGGTTAAACCGACGCCAAAAGTCTAATCCTAAAATTAAGCGTTGAGAGATTGACGGAATTATGAATAGTTTCAATGTTTTTGTAATGTTTTTAAACAGAATATCTGCATCCAACCAACCTATAACTATTTGCGATTTGCCATCTGCTGTTTTAACATAAGATTTGCATTTATTAAAATTTGGAAATTTGGAATAATCGTGTTTTGCCAAATCTGCTCCAATGCAGCTTATATTAGCGCCTGTATCTAATAAACCATATTCTTGCAAATTTAAAAATGAAACTTTAGCATAGTATCTCATGTCACTTTTATCGGTAACTATAGTTGAAATCAAAAATTTCCTACAAACTTTTTTAAGCTTATAAAATTTCCGTAAACGTAATGTAGATCGTTTGGTTTTCTTTGATAGAGGCACAGAAAGAGAAGAAACATTGAAAATTTGATTTCTCTTTTCCTGATAAATTTGCCATCTTTTATGGTAAGGTAAACGGGGATGAGGAGCTACAGATTTAGGTTCTACATAGATTTTATTTGTATCATGGACTTTTCGCCGAATTTCAACCTTTCCAAATTCATAATTAATATCTTTCTCAAGTATAGTTTTGCTAGTGTCGTCTTCATAAATGTTTTGTTTATCATTGTTGTTTTGTCGAAGTTCAATTTTATCAAATTCTTTGTCCAAATCATTATCCAGTTCAGTTTTGCCAGGTTCAATATCAGGTTTAGTTTGGTCATTATAGATTTTACCCCACCTTTCAGTTTGTTCGTCATGGCCTTTACGCCGAATTTCAATATTATCATATTCGTAATACAAGTCTTTGTCCAATATAGTTTTGCCGGGCTTTTCATCAGATATATTCAGGGTTTGATAGGGAAAATGTGCGTTTATTATTTGCTGTCTTTGGGAAAAGGAGTTTTTAAGTTTTTTGAAAACGATTGTTTTCTATTGGCACATTTTAAACAGTTGGGCTTATAGACTCCTTTTTCACCACAACCGTAGCAAAAAATAGTCCTATCATGCAAACAATCATGCCAATGGTGGCCAATTCCATCGCAATTCCAGCATTTACCATTGAATTCCAAATTTTGAATTGCGTTTATAGATATTTCGGAATTTATTTCATCAATAGATTGGGTTGTTTCCGAAATCTCATCTGATGAAAGTTCAGCTAAGCGTCGAGGATATGTTGCATTTGGCATTCTAGAGGCAAAATTCTTTCGAACATGCTCTTCTGACAAAAAATTTTCCCTCATTTGGACCAGTTTTCTCAAATGTGGTATCGAATGGACTGGAACATATAAAAGGTCTTGTCTAATGTCTGGTCGCAAATTTCTAGCCAAAATTTCAATCAGCTCTAATTCTGACATAGGAGTCGGAAGTTTGTCTATTATTGTAGAAACTGATTCGTAGAATGAATCAAAACTTTCGCCAGGTTTTTGTTTCCTGTTGCGAATTTCTTCTCTTATATCGAATGAAGATTTAAATTCCCTATACTGGCATCTTATGGCTTCACAAAATTCGTTCTATTCTATAGTATCAACACGTTTGTGATATCGCCAGTACCATTCTCTAGCCTTTCCAGTTAATAAAATGTGTAAATTGCGACAAATTATGGTGAAGTCATTGTTAAAATAATCTTTAGTTAAGGTTCTGATTCTGTATAAAAATTCTTGAATGTTTAGTCCATTAGAAGTCCCGTCAAATGTCACATTCCAATTCTTGATAATTAATGAGATTTTGTCAGCATTCAAAGTGCTATGGTAGGAGTTACCTGTTGAATTGGGTGGCAAAGGGGAATCTAAAATATGTGCATTGGGCTGATCAAATATATGAATATTAGAGTTATTAAGACTTGAAGCTCTTTGTGGGTTTTGTGGTAATTCTGGATTGGTATTTGGAACGAAATTCATATTGGATAAAAGTCTTGTTAGGTTTTGTTCAATAAGTCTATTGATTTCCTGATAATCTATCCCATTATTACTAACACTCGCCTGATTATCATTTTGTGTTATTACATTTTCAATTGAAACATTAGGAGTATTGGTTTCTGTAGCTCTTACCGGTTCATCAACATTATAAGCATTAGGATTAGATTCAACATTGTCTTGCGTTAAATTTCTACTGACACTTCTGGTCTGATAATGACGTGCTAGTGCACCTCTCGGTTTTGTACCAGTAGACCTTGCTAATGTACCTTTTGGTTGTATTACAAGTTTTCTCAGCTCTGATAAAATGGCGCCCAACGTGGGGCCCGAAGGAATAGCTCGGTTCTTTCTGGCTCGAATTTTTTGTTTAAATTTTTTAGATTTCAAATTTTTATAATTTTTGAAAGGTTTTTTTATGTCTTAAACTTGTTGAAGAATATCTATTGAAACTTTACAGGAAATTAGCTATTTGAGGTTTTAGCGGTTCGAATATGCTAACCGTTTGGTAGAAAGTAGTCATTTCTTTCTCTTGTTTAAACTAATTTATAACATTTCATAATTGTATAGCTCGTTATTAGTTTAAAATATTTTGGTTTTGAAATCCGATTGATAGCACATATTTTAATCAATGGAAATCATAAATATGCTGCCTGCAATTTATGACCTTGAGAAAATATGATATACCAATAGGAGATTTTGTATATAGCTAGTGGAATCAATTCCAAAATGTATTAAACATAATATAAGCTTCATAGACAAGTCTTGTTTTTTCTAATAGTTGATTTTTTTTTTTATTTGCCAAAGTAAATATATCTCACATGTACAAACAAATAAGAAGACCAAAACATTACAATTTTACACATTCATTGTGAAATTTTTATTCCGAAACAAATTTTGCATTGTAGATAATTAAATTTTGAAATTTTAAATGTTACACAATGTTTATTAAAATTCAAATTTCATATTAACTTCTTATTAATATTAGGAAACTAATTATAGAAATAATAACATTATACTATAAAAAAATTAAAACAATTTTTTTAAGATTTTACCAATTAACAATGTTTAACAAAGGTATAATTTTTTTAGTAACAAATCTAACAATATAATTACATCAAAAAAAAAAACAAATTAAATTTTTGTTTTTTTTTTTTACTTTAGAGTTAATAAATTATAAATTTAATTTTTAAATAAATATTATCAAATTTCTTGTATTTAAAAAAAATAATCTAATTTTCCTCATTTAAATTTTCTCAAAAGTATTATTATTTATTCCTTTTCTACCCATGGTGCATTTTTTTTTTTAAAAGAAAGCAAACAAAGAAACAAATTAAATCTTATTGAAGTTCATTGAACTTTTGTTCGAACAGCTGGTCTTTTATCATATCAAATGTAGGTCAAGAAAGGTTTGACGCTCTTTTAATTTCGGTTGTAAATAATGGAATTAGATTACAACTTGTTTGGTTGCATGTTCGAACGATCAATAAGTTCTCAGCGTTTGGTTGTTTGTTTGCTTTAATAAGAAAGCAAGAAAATAAACAAAAGGATTAATTTTCACTCACCAAGCATTCTGCAAAAGGCCTTTTCCATGAACGGGTTGCTGTTTTGATGTTAGGATAAAATGTTAAAAAAAATTTGGAAATTTTCTTGCTTTTGGGGTTTTGTTTCGACTTTTTAAATGGATTGTTTTTTTGTTAAATTTTTTTTTTATTTTTTGTTTAATTATTTTACATTTTTTTAGGGCAGTTAGTTTGTTTTGGGTAGATTTCAGCATTTAAAGGAAAAATATGTGTTTTGAGAAATTTTATAAATTTTTGATATTGAACTTTTAACATTTTACACATTTTAACTTTTAATTTATATTTTCTGTGATATTAGGGTAAGTTTAAAATCAGGCTATAGGGTACACAATTTTATTTATTTTCATTGTTTTAAAATTTTTTTTCTTTTTTTGTTTCACGGATTAACCCTTTTGGAACATTATTATTCTTGAAATTTCTTAAATTTTTAAATTTTCTTAAATTTTCCAAATTTTATGCATTTTCTTATTTCTTTACGAATTTTCTTTTCAATTAATATAAATACATTCATCTATTTTAACACTCTCAAAAAATAGTTAATTAATAAATCTCCTTTGACAATAACATTTTTGGGAATCACTGGGTTTTATGCTCTTTTACATGTTTCGGAACCACTGTTTTGTTTAATTCTTCTTGATTTTGTTTTGCACTTTTCTTTAACTTTTGGTTTGATTGAACTGTTAGGGATTTATTATTTTTGCAAGAGAACTATTTATTTTGAGTTTTTGAGAATTTGCGGAGTTTGATGATTTTTGGTGGTGGTTTTATTAATATTGTTGTTGTTGTTTCAAGAGGATTTTAGAGCTGCCTGATGAGTTTATGTTGGAGTTAAATGAAAAGAGAACACTAGCATTGCGCAATCTCCGGCTAGAGATCGTTCTGGTGACTCATTTAAGAAATCCCCTGGAAGAGGATTCCCTCGCCAGGTATGGGAATTGTGTTCGGAATGCAAAAATGAGTGATTGTTACTGGTAACTGGTGGAGATTAAAAAATGAGGTTTTAGATATAATTTATCTGCGTGAAAGAATTGGAATTTTAATTACCTTTGTAAATTTCATTTACTATAAAGGGATTCCAAAGCAAGATTAATCCAATTCACTGATTGAGTTGGATTAAGTGGGTTGAGTCCAATAAATTTAAGGTGCCAAGTAAAATTGGAGAAAATCGTGGCAGAAACCTTTTCCTATTATATGAAATTTATTAAATGAAATAAAAAATCTAAAAATTGGCAAAATTTACCTGATGGAGTATAAATTCTAGTTTTTCGATGAAAAATTTTAAGAAAAAGTATAAAATTATACTTTGATGACTTGGAAAATTTTAAGATTTTTTTCCGACTATCTGAAAATTTGATGTCTTCAGTTCAAAGATATACAGGAAAAGGATCTTCTATAAATTTTCTTCTGACCAAGAAACTTAATGTTTATAAAATTTAGAAAAAAATTGACATTAAATGTCAATTAATTGTCAATTAATTATATTAGGTTGCCATAAAATCAGTATATTATGTTGCCACTATAATTAGACTATATTTAGTCAAGACTCAATTAAATATTGCTGTTGAATGGTTCAGTCATCATGCAGACTGATGATAAGGAAGTGCATGAAATATTCTAAAACAACATGATGATAAAAGTTCATGTTGCATTTGGATATAACTTTTTAATGTTTAAAATTTTATAATCTCAAAAAATTTCCTCCAAAACAAGTTATTTACCCACTGTTTGAGTATTTTAAGATTTATTTTCCACAAATAGTTTTCCGAACCCTGACCACATTTAGCTCAGACAAAAACTCTTATACTCATTCATTAATAATTCTCATGCATAAATCAAAACAAGAAAATCAAAACAAAACAGTATGTTAAAAACCATATGATCGTAAAGATCATAAATAAACAAAGTGTCTTTTGAAAATTAACAAAAATTATATGAATTTTAAAATTTATACTAAAATAATAATATAATAATAATTGTGCACAAATCAATAATAAATAAGTTTTCCATTAGTGCTCTGCACTGTGAGCAGAAAAATGTTCAACAAATACCAAAAGGTCAACAACCAAATACAATATGGATTATTGGAAAAAAAAGTGACGTTCTTATATGAATGTAAGTCTTGTTTCCTATTTTTTTCATAGCAAAATATTTGGTTTTAAATAAAGGACATAAACGTCCATTACATTATATAGTCCCAGATTAACTTCTTTAGAAGCTCATTATATAGTCCCAGTTTAGCTTCTACAGAAACTCATTTCATAGTCCCAGTTTGGGTTTTACAGAAGCTCGTTATATAGTCCCAGAGTAGATTCTATAGAAGCACACTATATAGCCCCAAATAAGCTACTGTAAAAGCCCATTGTATAGCCCCAGTTTGGCTTCTATAGTTCCAATTTATCTTCAGTTTTAACATATCTATTTGCCATAAATATTTTCATCATAAAGTCTTGTTAAATTTAAATTTCCTAAAATGTTTTAACAATACACATTGATAAAATTTCCGTATTTTTAGTACAACAGTCTTTTTTAACTCTTTAATTCGTTTAACCTTCAGCTGTATCCTTGAACTTTTTATTCATAGTTGTAGAATTTTGAATTTACGTTTTCTACTCTTGTCTTGTTTTTTGGCAGAAATATATATTTCTGTAGTGATTCTGTATACGGCATCTAAGAGAAAAAGTGTCAAAAAAATGCTAAATATTTATACAAATACTTCGAACTATTGATTGATTTATAAATAAAACACACAAAAAATATATACACATAAGCATATTGTTTAAAAAACACTTTTAATAGAAACATATTTTCTATTTTAAAACAGCAGAAATTACTTTAAAAAAATCAATATGTATATTACATTTTGATAATCCTTTCAAATATCCTTCCTAATACAAATGGGAAAATTTCATCTATTAAATGTTTTTTTCAATTATTAGTAATGTAACTAACAGGAAAGTTTTACTACAATATGTGACTTTAACGGGTGATGTGTCCTTTTAGTAAGCAACGTTAATGATTTCGTTATTTACCTTTAAAAATTCGAAAATTATCTATGGTATCCTGCTATTTTCATCCATATTTCAGTCACTTTAGCAATTTTATTTTTTTTTTGCTCAGAAAAATTTGATTAACAAAAATTTTCCACATAAATTTTCTGCTATTTTCCAGCAAAAATGTCTAACATGAAGTCAGGCAAGCAGACATTTTTGTTGGTTTTGTTTTAGTTCTGCAACACTTTAGGGCCACTGAATGCATCAATCAGGACACTAAATATACAAAAACAGATTATGATGATGAAATGAAATAAAATGCATTTTGGTACATGATGCATGGCTTCATGAAAAACATGTGAAAAATTATTATATTAAAAGGAACCAGAAATATGAATTTGAAGGGATAATGATAAAATATCACTATTAACACAATTTACTTTAGAAGACCCAACCAGACAACAAATACCTTTACTCTCTTTGCAGAATTTACATCGTATTGTGAAGATTTCTTTTTAATTCCATCCTTTTTAACACTTTTAGATGTCCGACCCATAAAGATGATTATGGCACTCAACGTGTTATAAGAAAACACCACCGAACTGTGTTTTAACTTTGTATTTGCCAAGTCGTTGAAATTACCTTGTCTGGCAATAGTTCCTCCATCCTACAAGGTATTGTTGTTGTTGATCCCAATGCCATACAAGGATAGAGGGTTTAAATAGCACATGACCATAAACGTTTTTCGGTAAGTTAAAAGACAATATTTGAATTATTAGCTCAACTATGGATAGACATTACTAACTATGAAGACTAGACTATGACTAGACTATGAATAGACTTGACTAGAACTATGACTAGACTATGACTAACTATGACTGACTATTACTATACTATGACTAGACTATGACTAGACTATGACTAACTATGACTAGACTAGGACGAACTATGACTAGACTATGAACTAGACTATGACTAGACTTGACTAGAATATGACTGAACTAATGACTAGACTATGACTAGACTAAGGACAGACTATGACTAGACTATGACTAGACTATGACTAGACTATGACTAGACTATGACTAGACTATGACTAGACTATGACATACATGACTAGACTAGACTATGACTAGACTATGACTAGACTATGACTAGACTATGACTAGACTATGACTAGACTATGACTAGACTATGACTAGACTATGACTAGACTATGACTAGACTATGACTAGGACTATGACTAGACTATGACTAGACTATGACTAGACTATAGACTAGACTATGACTAGACTATGACTAGACTATGACTAGACTATGACTAGACTATGACTAGACTATGACTAGACTATGACTAGACTATGGACTAGACTATGACTAGACTATGACTAGACTATTGACTAGACTATGACTAGACTATGACTAGACTATGACTAGACTATGACTAGACTATGACTAGACTATGACTAGACTATGACTAGACTATGACTAGACTATGACTAGACTATGACTAGACTATGACTAGACTATGACTAGACTATGACTAGACTATGACTAGACTATGACTAGACTATACTAGACTCTAGACTATGACTAGACTATGAGACTATACTAGACTATGACTAGACTATGACTAGACTATGACTAGACTATGACTAGACTATGACTAGACTATGACTAGACTATGACTAGACTATGACTAGACTATGACTAGACTATGACTAGACTATGACTAGACTATGACTAGACTATGACTAGACTATGACTAGACTATGACTAGACTATGACTAGACTATGACTAGACTATGACTAGACTATGACTAGACTATGACTAGACCTATGACTAGACTATGACTAGACTATGACTAGACTATGACTAGACTATGACTAGACTATGACTAGACTATGACTAGACTATGACTAGACTATGACTAGACTATGACTAGACTGACTAGCTATGACTAGACTATGACTAGACTATGACTACACTAAGACTAGAGTATGACTTGACTCGCCACATTACCAACAGGATATAGTATTAATCCAGTTAAAATTTACTTCTTTAGGAAAAATTAAATTCTATTTTCTTTTTATCGATTCTATTACAGGACACAAATACCAGATGTACCCTTCACATACCGGAAACACGACTTATTGGGAAGTGTGAGACAATAGTTGCAGATAGGCGATCCTAATCAAGCGAAACATTAGACCAATCTGGTCATATGGTAATCTGTTATTACTCGAACGGCTATATAGGGAGACAAAATGGATATAAAGATATGCGTTGAAAAGAAAAGTCCATTACATATTTTTCTACATCTATAATGCATTAAGGATGATATCAACTAATAAGTTTAAATCGAAGAGCTTATTGGATTGTTGGAAAGCCACAAGCGGATACCCTTATAGATTTGGTAGAAATAAATATTTATGATGAGAGAATACCAAGTAGCCAAATGAATAATGGAACAGTAGTTGAGGACACTAAATTCCTATGAAGCGGCTACAACGATAACAGTAGGAGAAGTCTCCTCATAATGAATAAATCCATGATTAGTATGAGTATAGTTATTCTTAATGGAAACACAGGTTTAGGAACAAATGAAGTCTGCATGATAATATTTTGAAATTTGTTGAGAAAATGTTTCAGTTAAGCAGAAATGTTTTTCTTTCTTCAATTTTTACATTAATAAAATGTTTAATTTAACATTATTTTAACCTAACTATTAAGCTTTAAAAAAATATTTATCTATTGCATAATTTTGGGAGTTAAAATTTAATAGTTTCAAATTATATAAATTTTTCTCAAATATTTTATCTGCTTTTTTATATAAAACGTAGACAAATCCATATCGTATATAAAAACAAATATTCAAATACATATTCACAAAAACATATGTATAAAACAGTTTGGCATAATTTGAGGCAACTAAATATTGTTTGACCTAGCAAACTTTGAGCTCTCCAGAGGTCATATTTGAGGAGTTATACATTTGTGTTTTGACCATATGGCCATATCTGTTTAAATGTATGAACAATGAAATAGTAATTTTATGTGCTATGGATGAGTTAAGGCCACACCAAATGCGAACAAAAGAAAAATGAAATATTGACAATATGCCTAAAAGAAAAACGAAAATATTAAACAATAAAAAGTTTAAAATTTTAAATATAAATACAAATATTTCTACTATGTTTGAAGAAAATCACAAACTTTTTAATTCTTTAACAAATTTGTTATATCATAAAGTTAAATGGACACTTAAGTTATACTTGTATTATTTCTATTCTATTTTAAGGCAAGAAACAGATGTCTACATATGAGGAAAGAGAAACTGTAGAGCGTCAAAAGCAAACCCTCGTGAAGTACATATGCAAAGCTACTAAGAAGTGATCCTAAACTGAAGTTGAAAACCTCCATATTAATGTTATTATTGCTAATAGCTGCCATGTTTGAGGATAATGAAGAAATTGTGAAAAAGTATTAAAAACTAAAAACTAATGATAAAATAATGAATAAACTGTAATTAAATGTCAAGTTAATTTTTTTAAATGAGTTGCACAATTTTGTTTGGTAGGTCTCTTACTATAAAAATGTATTTATATCATTGATATACAACTGCTAGTCTGGTGCTAATGCCTCCAATATCGCATATCTTCATCAGGTTCTAAACTGATCGGTAGGCATACTTTCTTACAGTTTCATAAAGTTAATATAGTTCAGCATTTCATTGGGTTTAACAATATATTTAATATAAAATCTGAATATTCAGAATATTTTCATATCATTCCTAAATTCGGCTTTGGAAAAGTAATATGTGTATAACATTTTCCATTGTTAAATATAAAATCACCACTACGTATACGTAATATTACTTTCATATGAGTAAAATCCACGTGCAAATACGACATAGTGTGCAGTTTATTTTCATTACGTCAAAGAAATACATAGAATTCAACAAAAATAAGCTTTTGTTAACAATATAAACTAATTAACTAACTTAATAACTAACTAACTAACTAACTAACTACTAACTAACTAACTAACTACTAACTAACTAACTAACTAACTAACTAACTAAACTAAACTAACTAACTACTAACTAACTAACTAACTAACTAACTAACTAACTAACTACTAACTAACTAACTAACTAACTACTAACTAACTAACTAACTAACTAACTAACTAACTAACTAACTAACTAACTAACTAACTAACTAACTAACTAACTAACTAACTAACTAACTAACTAACTAACTAACTAACTAACTAACTAACTAACTAACTAACTACTAACTACTAACTAACTACTAACTAACTAACTAACTAACTAACTAACTAACTAACTAACTAACTAACTACTAACTAACTAACTAACTAACTAACTAACTAACTATGGCTAGACTATTAACTAGACTATTACTAGACTGTGACTAAATTGTGACTAAACTGTGACTAGACTATGACTGCCAGTTAATTTTACACATTTTAAATCACCATGGACAAACAATTTGCATTTAAGATAAGAACTATTATGTGCCTGAAAAAGTATGATCAAGGCAAATGGTTGACACTTACTAGAGTGAGATAATAAGGACAAACTGTTGTACTATAATTCTAAAGATATCATAAATCGAAGTATTACATAATTATGTTTGTTCACTTCAAGTGTTTGTATACTTGTTAATGTTGTCCAGGAAAAGGTTATAGTCAGAAAAAGTCGAACGTGTAGAAAAACATGTTTTTGGCAAAGTAGATTGATACTTTGATACTCTTGTCACTAATATTAATTGAAAACATTTTGATATTTATTGGCTATTAATTTGAAATGTTAAACCAAATACATTTCAAAATTATATCTTGTGACACGATTATACTGCAAAGTGTATTCCTGCACATAGTACTAATGTTAAAAGAGGTGGATTTAAAATGAATTGTAACATTTTAATACTATTACCCTCTTCCCAGCTGAAAGTGCTTTATTTCTATTCAAATAATGTACATATATTGATGTTATACGTATGAGTGATATTTTTCAATTAATAACATTCATACGCCTCAAATGACTAATAGCAAATATTTTCATTTGATGCTTCAAAAGTCATAACTATTCACTAAAATATAAAAAATTTAGAAAAATCTAGTTTTTATTTTACTATTAACTAGACTATGAATTAGACTTTAATCTGTATCTTAAATTAGACCATGAACTAGATATATATAATGACGTAAAGTAAACATTGAACTAGACTATGAAGAAGATTAAGAAGTGGCCAACAAACTTGATTGCGAATTAGTCTATGGCGTGGCCATGAATTGGGCTATGAAATGTACTATAAACTAGATTATAAAGTGGACTGTGACGACAATGAACTGGACATTGAATTAGATTACTACCTAGAATATAAACTAGACTGATTACGATTATATTTTAGATTATTAGAAATACTGAAAACAACACTACGATAAAACTATAAACTAAAGAATAAATTTCACAGTGAACTAGAATATAACCAGACATTGATTTTACTCAAATTTAATAAAATTTTTTATAAACTACTAAATTTTTATATTGTTTTGTTCTTCTTTAGCTTGCTATCTCTGTATCATCAAGGCCAGACAGCAGTATATAGGTACAACTTAATAGAATAATTACGTGTCCTGAAATTTTATTTAAACTAATTCATTAAATGACGTCAATGATAAAAAAATAAAAATAATTCGGAAGTAAAGATTATTAATTCAACAACAAGGAACGTTTTTGAGACAAAATTTTCTCTTGTTTCCAAAATCTTAACGTAACACCTACCATTATAATAAAAGTACAATATTACGTGATTTGTATAAATGATTGTAATAAGTAAAATTTATATAAAAATTTTGTAAATTAAATTTTCTTATTACCTATATATCGCATACCTATACACATACATATGTATGTTTTGTATACAAATCCTGTCATAACACGTTTTTAGTAGACTTTTTAGTAACTTTATTAAAGTTTATCTTAGGAATGTGACAATTTCTGTGTGTGTGAGTTAAGAGTCTATTATTGTTTTATATGCCAAGATGCTGTTATTTAAATTTCTATATGAGAATTTGTTTAAACGTATTTTCTATTTTCTAAAATTTTTTGTTTAGAAAACATTAAATGACAAATATTTTTAGCCAACAGTTTCTTCTCATTGCCTAAGTTTGTTTCCTAATATTAGCTTTGTTCCTTTACTTGTCATGTTTGCAGGTTTTTACCAGAAATTGTAAAAGAGAACAAAATTGAGAAATAAAAATTGTTTTCTCTTTGCCAGAACATGCAGGTTTTAGCCAGAACATTTTTTCCTGGCAAATAGAAAAAAATTTGTCAAATAAATTATTTGTTTATAAAAATACATTGAAAACAAAAACTGTTTAAAATTTTTGATTTATTTTGATAAATAAGTATGTGTGATTGTAGTTTTTCAATTTTATTTTAATTTTAATAGAAATTTGTATGAATAAACTTCAATACAAATTCATTGAAAGTGAAATTTTGTTTTTTCTGTTCCCGTACTTTTTACAAGTACGAAGAGAAAATTCATTAATTCCCTTTAGCCAGAAAAGTTCTGGAACAAAGCTATTATGTATATTTTTAGACATTTTACATAAAATCTATTTTTGAAACAAAACAAAATTATTAAAATATTCACGTTCACTGTTCTTGACAGATTTTCCTGTAAAAGTGGTTGAAATTTATTTTTAAATTTAAAAACAAACGCTATTTACGTCATTTTATAGAAATTTTATTGTTTTTGCACATTATTTCAGGATTTTTTCCTGTAACAGCCCACCACCATGTAAATGATGGTTGACTAAAAGTTGATTTTAAAGCTTTCAAGAGAAATTTAATATTAACATATCACGAGTTAATACTAACAGTTTATTTTCAATATATTTTTTATTAATATCGAAAATGTTAAAAGAAATATTAAAGTGGAATTTAAAATATTTTAAATTCACTTTAACAAATCTACACCTGATGTGTTGCTTTTTCTATCCAATATTAAAATAATTGTTACTTTATATTTCTTGAGTACAACGTAGTTAGTCAAGACTATAGACTGTTCTATAGTCAAGACTATAGACTGTTCTATAGTCAAGATTATAGACTGTTCTATAGTCAAGACTATAGACTGTTCTATAGTCAAGACTATAGACTGTTCTATAGTCAAGACTATAGACTGTTCTATAGTCAAGACTATAGACTGTTCTATAGTCAAGACTATAGACTGTTCTATAGTCCAGACTATAGACTGTTCTATAGTCAAGACTATAGACTGTTCTATAGTCAAGACTATAGACTGTACTATAGTCAAGACTATAGACTGTTCTATAGTCAAGACTATAGACTGTTCTATAGTCAAGACTATAGACTGTTCTATAGTCAAGACTATAGATTGTTCTATAGTCAAGACTATAGATTGTTATATAGTAAAGACTATAGATAGTTCTCTATTCAAGACTATAGACTGTTCTATAGTCAAAACTATAGACTTTTCTATAGTCAAGACTATAGACTGTTCAATAGTCAAGACTATAGATTGTTATATAGTAAAGACTATAGATTGTTCTCTATTCAAGACTATAGACTGTTCTATAGTCAAGACTATAGACTGTTCTATAGTCAAGACTATAGACTGTTCTATAGTCAAGACTATAGACTGTTCTATAGTCAAGACTATAGACTGTTCTATAGTCAAGACTATAGACTGTTCTATAGTCAAGACTATAGACTGTTCTATAGTCAAGACTATAGACTGTTCTATAGTCAAGACTATAGACTGTTCTATAGTCAAGACTATAGACTGTTCTATAGTCAAGACTAGAGACTGTTCTATAATCAAGACTAGAGACTGTTCTATAATCAAGACTATAGACTGTTCTATAGTCAAGACTATAGACTGTTCTATAGTCAAGACTATAGACTGTTCTATAGTCAAGACTATAGACTGTTCTATAGTCAAGACTATAGACTGTTCTATAGTCAAGACTATAGATTGTTCTATAGTCAAAACTATAGATTGTTATATAGTAAAGACTATAGATTGTTCTCTATTCAAGACTATAGACTGTTCTATAGTCAAGACTATAGACTGTTCTATAGTCAAAACTATAGACTTTTCTATAGTCAAGACTATAGACTGTTCAATAGTCAAGACTATAGATTGTTCTATAGTCAAGACTATAGACTGTTCTATAGTCAAGACTATAGACTGGTCTATAGTCAAGACTATAGACTGTCCTATAGTCAAGACTATAGACTGTTCTATAGTCAAGACTATAGACTGTTCTATAGTCAAGACTATAGACTGTTCTATAGTCAAGACTATAGACTGTTCTATAGTCAAGACTATAGACTGTTCTATAGTCAAGACTATTAAATGTTCTATAGTCAAGACTGTGGGCTGTTCTATTGTCAAGAATATAGAATGTCCTATAGTCAA